TTGCGTGACGCCTGTGACATCATGGCGAAGCTGCGATGCCGGCTTCCCAGACTCAGACAGGTCCCAGGTCTCCCCTGGGCCCCCTTCCGGCCTTCTTTGTTTCTGGAGGCAGCGGGGCGCACATTAATCTGGCCAGCCTCGAGGGCGGCTTCGGGGAATCGGCCGAGCACACAGCCGCCACTTTTCCACGGCACACGAAGGATATCCGGGTCCTCCATAGAGGCCCCGCGCAGGCAAGTGTGAATGTTTGAGGCATTGCACATTGCGGCAGCAGCTGCTGTGGCGCCGGGCTTAATCAAAGATGCAGGAGTCGGAGACAAGCTAGAGAATTACCAGGGGCTTTGACTTGGAAGAGAACTTGATCTGCATGCTGCTGTGTCTATCCACGTCGATGCCAGTCACAGCCAAGGATGGCAGTGCTAGGTGTGCCAGAGCTGTCGAGATGCTCGTGCGCACTTGACTCAGACCCGACATGGAAGAGCTCCTGATGCAAGTGAGCTTCGTTAAGTCTACCTTGCTTGGCCGAGGTATGGGCATTGACGTTAATGCCCAAGACGATGCCGGCGAGACGCCCCTGCACTGGGCTGCCATGACAGGCCTGGCCAGTTGCGCACCGTGCAGAGAGGGCCTGAAGGAGTGCTTGTACCGTGTCGCAAGGCCGAGCATGGGCCACTGGATTTCTCCTTCGGAACGGCTCGGATCCGCTGCTCGCGAGTTGGTCCGGTCCAACTGCCATGCTTAAGAGACCTTAAGCCTTAAGAGGTGCTCGAACTCAGACTCAGAGTGCCTCGCCTGCCTTGCGAAGTGCTCGTGACAGGTTTCCGGCCCTTTGACGTCTGTTGTACAGGGCCGGCCACTCAGGGAACGTGCTGACCCTTGCGGGAACATGCAGGAATGCACCCGACGACAGCTGGCATACACAGCCACATGTGGGTGTAAATTGTGGTTGGGCAAGATGCCGCATGTTCTGTGAAACTTTCTGTGCTTGGACGGCCGGCCGGAGGCCAGCCGCATTCCTGGGAGTGGATTCGAAGCTGCCTGGCTGAATTCTTGACATCGTCGAGGCACCAGGTCTGCAAGCTCTTTGCCGGCTTATCTCAACATTTATATTGCGGTAACTGCTCCGGCCAGTTGAATTTAAGTGGGCACGCAGAGCCAGTCGGTTGCGGCACCAGAGGTACTCCTCGGGCTCGAGAGGGGGGAGAGGGAGATAGGCCTGAAAGCGACAGCACACCCGCTCGGACACCAAGGAAGGTCTATGAGATTCTCAAAGGCTGGACACAGGCCAGTCGAGACACCTGTCGAATCATCTTTTGCTCCGAAAGCTTTAATGCGAATTTTGCATCTTGCTGAGTGGCTCTCTTCTGATCGCAGGCAACAGTCACTGCTGGTCACGCGGCCTTTGCCTTCGATGACGAGGCCTCACAAGGGGTTGTAAGCATGTCTTTACCGACTTCCGAAATCGGGAGCGAGTCTGGCTTGGGCAATCTACGATACCGCAGAATCCATGCAGTCTTGGCTGCCAGGATATGGATCGCCCTTGACCGAGGCAGAAGATCTGCGTGCTCTGGATACGTAGAGTGTGCAACATCTCCTCCAGAGGGTTCTTCTGTTTCCCATGCACCCCTGATCAGCTGACGAAGATGCAGTTTCAGCTCCAAGAATGATACGTTCCGTTCTGAATCCATTTGTGGTGCAGTGGCAGACGGTGAACGACTTGGGAGAGGAAGCATGCGTTCTTGTCTCGAGTCGGAGTAACATCACGCCGAGGTATGAACCTGAAAGAAGTCGACACAGAGCGAAGGATTCAAACTTCGGTGAGTTTCGTTCTTGAAGCTCGAGTGTCCTTTAGGGCCTCAGGTGGAATTTCTCAAGGCCTAGACCGTTGCCCTTCAAACTGAAACGCTCGGCGAAAGCTATGTAGTAGCCCGTACGCTAGGATGCCGAAGGCTTTCATTGCAATACTGACGGCCATGACACATCTTCGGGAGGCATGCAGCTGCAGGCTTGAAGAGCTCCTCGCGCTGCGACTTCTGAGTTGTTCCGTAGTCACTTCAACATTCGCTTGTGAGCACAGCACCACAGTTAAGTTTGCAACTCCAAGTGTAACCTGCCATGAAAGGATGTTTGCAGCAACACAGGCTCGCCACCCTCGCCCTGTGGGATTTCGGGTTGCAGGTTGAACAGAGTATAGTCGACTGCTTTACGGCTTTGACACATGTGGTGTTAGAACTGCGGCCTGCATGAGTACCCAGTACCTACGAAATGTCATCCACAGAAGCTTGAATACATCGCAGACCATGTTGCGACAAGGGCGCAGCAGTCGTTGTAGAGCCGCAGCCCACGGAGACAATGATTTCTGTGGCAGCCACAGCCTCAGATCCACCTTCGGGAGCCCGACCACGCCGGTGAAGAAGCCTGATCCATTGACACGCACTATAGGGGCCTTACTATTTTGGGGGATCCTGGTTATAACTATAGTATAATGTGCCCCAAGACCCAATTCTAATTTAATTATGAAGGCCCCTTTTGTTAAAGTCCTGAAGATGGAGTCGTTCACATGGCTGCCAGCATTGCACCTGTCTCCTGATCGCAGGGTGTACCTACCCTCAGCATACCTCAACAGTCCCAACGTACGCTCTTGGTGTCAACCCGAGTCTGGGCGAAGGTCCGCATCTCAATGTTTTCAGAACCGCGGCAAGTCCTGAAAGAGGATCTTGCTTCGTCGCAGCAGCAAAAACCTCTGCACAGCAAGAGGAGTCGTTTCCTTTCAAGAGACTCTGTTTTCCTTTGCAAGCGCTTCCCTGGCTGCAAAGCTTGCTTAAGCATCAGATGTAGAGAGAAGCCCAGCTGGCAAGTGTTGAATATCCGACAGACGAAATCAAAACAGCGGTCGGCAGCGTGCACCCAACAGTGCTGATGGTGTATGATTTCGTAAGAGGTTGCTGCCGATACTCCCACTTGATCTTGCCAGATGGAAGTGTAACTCTAGGTTGCAGCTGAAAAGCATATTGAGGTGAAACGAAGGCAAGGCCACCAGCAGCCATGGGTTTCAAATATGTCTTCGTTCCAGCATCGGCCAGTGATGACATGCAGGAGAGGATTGCTGATTTCAGGCTTGCAGTTCCTGGAAGCCTTGGTTCGACTGTGAAGGAGCTCGACTTCGAAAAAGATGTTGCGACCTTGGAGGAGGCTTGGAAGGGAATGGTGATTCAGATGGCCTCACCCCCCTTCCTGGTGCCTGTGCATCCTGAACTCTGACAGGACACCTTCCGCACCTTTGTCGAGAACTTCTTTGCTCGAGTGGACTACTCAGGAATGCGGCAGTATGACTTACGCTACCGCTGCGTAGCCGGTTCGGGTTGTGGAAAGCATGGAGATGGCCCTACAGTGTCGCCCTTGCGGCGCTGAGGCTGGGGCTACCGCTGACCGTGGGGTGCTGTTGTGCGCTAGCTGAGCTATGCAGCTCTTGGATGAGCGCTCCGATTTGCTGTTGTGCCAGACAGGCAGCAGCTGAAAGATCGCACGGGCGTAGACATCCAGGTGGCCGTCGCCAAGTTGTCGCGCTTGCGAATACCCAAGCCTTGTGACCGCAAGTGCGGCATTCTGCGGCATTACAATCAAAAGATTGGGATCTTGGAGCTTGGGTTTCCATGTCCATCGGCTTCATTGCAATCCATTTCCAAGCCCTCAAAGAGGAGTAGGAGGAGCAGGGCGAGTACGAGGAGCAGGAGGAGTAGGTGGAGACAGGGACCGTTGGTGGTCAATGATTGCCTGGGGATCGGCACTCTCACTATACATCAAAACTTACAGTGATTCAGAGCTTGAGAGCATGAGCAGCTGTTGCGGTGAAGGCATAATTGTAGTATAATATATACCCCAAAACCCTACTAGGCCCATTTAGGGTACTAAAATAGGGTCGCCTATTATAGTGCCCTAGTAGGGGACCGAAGGCAAGCCCGCTTCCTGCCCAGTGAGTCGTGAGTTTGTTAGCGAAGGTGGGCCATGCCTTTCTGCGGCCCCGCGGATGTCCTCCCGGAAGCTCGAATATCAAACCAAGAAGCTATCAAACTTCAGACTTCAAAATATCTATTTCACCAGCGACTCACCAATCATTAGGAGTTGCACACCTGGCAGGAGAAGACAGACAAGGGCGAGATGCCAAACGAGGCTTGTGGCTCAGCAGTTGAGATCATGCAGAAGATGTACTGTACAGCGAAAGCGTTGGTTAAGAATTTGCTGGGATCTGTTCAGGGGGTGCTCAGATTCTTAAGTCTGCTTGTCTGTGACATTCACGTCTTTCAGCCGCCTCGCAGCCTCGAGGGGGGCTCAGATTCTTAGTACATTCTTAGCTGAGGGCTTGAACCAGGTACCACAGCCACTGAAGAGCTCGATATACCACTGCTCCAAACAACAGTCTTCAGAACATAGGTGTCTCTGCAATGTCCGATGGTGAAGCGATGGAGCTTGTGTCCGTGGCGTCCGACGAAGGTGTCGAGACCGGTCCTTCGAAGAAGGAACAGGTCTCGCTGCACCGATACGGTCGTTGCACCTTCACTACGACTCAAGGAAAAGTTGTGCAAACGACGGGCCCACAGAGCAGCAGCAGCTCTTCGGAGAAGCCTTGGCAATGCCAGTTCTGCGCTCACTCAGATTCTTAATTCGGAGGTTTCCATGTGTACAGGTGCAGGGGCTAAGAATCTGAGGGCTCAGATTCTTAATTTGGAGGTTTCCACGCCGGGACCTGCTTGTGTACAGGTGTAGGGGCTAAGAATCTGAGGGCTCAGATTCTTAATTTGGAGGTTTCCAACACCAGGACCTGCTTGTGCACAACCCCAGGAGTTAAGAATCTGGGTCCAGATTTCAGGGGGGGCTCAAATTCTTAAGTCAAATGCACACCGCCCATGGGTGAATTATCACTATGTGCGTCGAAATTCAGCCCCTCAAATTCTGAAGCAATGAATTCTTAAGCAATACTGTGGTAGCCATGTTTTCTTGTCGTGCACAGATGCTGGACAAGCTCCTCTCTGCCAGCAGCGTCGAGATCTTCCCAGTTCAGCTTCCAACGAAGGAGACGTTCTGGGCAGGCGTCACATAATGGTGACTCTTTCGTTGTGGAGATGGGAGCGTAGCGACTAGCCTTGAGAATGAAGGAGACCGGGTTCCACGCAGTTAGTGTGTGCCCCACACTTCCGTGCTTTCCTGGAGACGGTTCAGTTCGGCATGCTGCGCAGTAGAGCATTTCGACGTCAAGATCCATGATGTAGCAAGCCAGGTACCTCGATGACAAGGGTGTGGCCAAGAGCCTCGAGGCCACATCACTGCCCGGAGAAAGCTGCATCAGGCCCACACCCTACAAACATGCGCAGGAGAACGTGCGTGTCTCCGGCCTTGTGCAAGCCGCAGCCTTACAAGGTCAGACTTGTGTGTGGGTCGGAAGGAGTTCTTGGCAAAGTCGCGAGGCGTGTGGATACCCCGGGCAGACGTTCAGAGGGGACTGCTTTGTCGGAAGGGTGTTCGACGACACCCAGGCGCAATCTGAGAATGTTTGGGCCCTTGACAAGAATAAACTTGAGGATGAGTGGAGGAGGATGGACTTCACCCTCAAGGCCGGCAGGTACTTACATCACGGACGGAAATAGAGGGGATGCAGACAGGATTGCAGCACCGATGCTGATTGGATCCAGCAGACGAAGCTGCAGCGTGCCAACAGGTGCGTCGACCAAAATTTTGTTGGGGAGGGTTCCTTGCCGGGGGGTGTGGAAAGCCATGCTAGCTGCTCGGTGCAGGAAGTCAGGTGACCTGCAGAACCTGGCAAACAGCATTGGTGCCAATAATCCTGTTCCGCGCCTGCATGTCCGGACCAGTATCCTGCTGAATCCCTTGTGGCCGATTCAATCCACCTAAGGCTCAGATTAATCCCTCCATGATGGCAGAGTCTCCGAAGGGTGAGACTGCAGACTACTCTTGGAAGCAGGCCCGGACATGTTCCAGCAGGTGTCCTCCATGTGTGGGTCATGGGGGCCGTCACAAGCGGTCGAACCATGGTGCCTAGAATCATCGCACCTCGCATTGGTTTTCATGGTCAAAACAAACTGTGACATGCAAGAGCAAGTCGGAACTCGGAGTCGGAAGTTCAAGCAAGTCCACGTGAGTATGCCTTGTCCTGTGGCCAGTCAGAAGATGAAGTCGAGGTGCAGAACTTGGCTTGTAACGGCTTGCATGGCAGGAAGACGGTTGCCTGGCCTAGCCGTTTGCTGCCCAGGTCACCTTCAAGCAGGAAGGCTTGCAAAAAGGTGACAAGAAGTACGTAAAGGCCGGAAACCAGAGTCAGGGGAACGGGCAGCCAGATACGGCAGCAAGATGACCTTGCAGCCACCACCCACCTAAGACCTAAGGCAGCCTAAGAGGCTTTTGGAGACCTGAAGCTGCTAGAATCTGACAGCTTGGTTCTTGCCATCTCTGCGTCTGAGCATGGTGAGGTGGCCTTTGGACGCAAACGGCTGAAGGTGTCAGTCAAGGACCAGGCATCTGCCGGTGCACGTCTTCTCTACGAACATTCGCATGTGCTGAGGCTGAGGGCTTCCGAAGCATTCCGTTCATGCCTTTTGACGCCTTTCGCGCGATGAGTTCGTCAATCGGGCATACATATACCGCATTATACCCCGTACGTACATAAAGCATCATACACATGCATAAGTTATGTCGCGAGCTCTGTTTGCTCTTCGCGCCGAGTCTTGTAGGTCATTATCGACTCGCCCTTGGCCGGCAACACGACCGCAGATGAGTGTACCTGGACCCTGAGCGATGGAATACTCCAAGCTTGGACCTCAGTGGCTCGGAGTTCTTGCAGGCATCATCATTGGCAAGACGAGAAGCAACTGGTGCAAGACCAGTGACAGATGCAATTGTCAGGTGACGTTGGTCAAGGAAGATGGAGACACATGGCCACGCTGTCAGTCGCTGGCGTATGCAAATCTTTGCAGCATTGCGAAAACAAGGTCGGAGCTCCTGGCAGAAAGCTGACAGCTCCCGCGAAGTTGACCAGTTTTGCACAGAATGCTTTGTACAGCTGGGCATGTTTCGTAGAGAAACTTTAAACAACATCGAGGCGCTTAAGGCGTACCAGTCGGGTGAAGAAAGGGCAGTCGGTCAGCCAGTTCCTCATCGAATGTTCCGTGTTCGACAAAGAATAGATTAAGCCCCATGCACACACACATTGATTTCAGCTGATATCTTCAAGATGAAGTTCATGTGCACGCAGTTGCCACTCGACTCCTCCATCTTAGCTCCGCGTAAGCGCAAGTTGTCTTCTTCGACGGTGATGCGGTACCAGGCCGTAACCACTGGCAAAGATAGGCCCGCACACCAAGCATTTCGGCTTACAGGAGACGAAGGTAGGGGCCTTCGCACGACGCTTCTCGAAGAGGAGGCATCGATAGTTCTGGCCATGCCCGTACTCTCATAAACGCAAGCTTCGCACGCTGAGCCCTTCTGTGCTCGGTGCTGTAGGGTTCTGCAAGAAGCGGGAGGGAATAAGAGGAAGGAGATTTGTTCGGGCTTGCGTCTGTTGTTCAGTGCTGAAACGCAGAGGGTGGCACATCAGTTTCACATCAGTAGTCGAATCGCAAAGACTTCGTGGGAGCAGACTGCGAACCAATCTGAAATTCTCGGACAAACCTCTGCTGACTCTGTCGAGCTCATGAGACCGAATCGAAGAAGAGACAGGTTGTACGACTGGTGAAAAGAAGAGGGAGTAACTCATACAGAGGATGCTTTCGCACATGTCTGTAACAAGCATGACGCAGCTTGGATAAAGCCCGGCGCAAGAAGAGACAACCAGCCTAGATCAAATCTAGGTGCAGAGATTGAAGGAGAGAGAGAGAGAGAGGTCAAAAACAATATCAAGGGTTTCGACAGTGAAGGGCCATGAGATCTTTGGTTTAAAGATATGACCAGGTGGCTGCTTCACATGCAAGCCGACGTCGACGAAAATGAACGGCGTCCAAACCACCCGACTCCCAGTCGCATACTTGCTGGTAGCTGCGAGTATACTTCGAAGTTCCGGTAAGGACAGTATCATCTTGTGTCCCGGTAAAAGTCCCTCCCAGAAACAGTATTCTGTGCTTGCCTGACTGAGGAGAAGCAAAGCAAGTCAGGAGGAGGTCTTGGAACCTCCGGCATTCGGGATCGCGACGCAGGCCGTGTATGCAGGAGTGATCGGAAGCTTTCTCTATGGCGACTTGGCAAAAAGAAATCGGTTCGGAGTTCAGGGTCAAGAATCTCAGGTTTAGGGCAGTTTTGGGTATAGTATTTGGAACATGGCCTACGCTCCGAGCAGCTTTGGTGCGCTGAGGCTACATGCTGTGCTACCTGAATTCCTGCAGCACAGATGCAGCAGTCCGTGCAGAGTTGCTAAGTCTAGGTTCCCATGCATGAACCAGCAGTAACTAGCATTTTACCTCCAGGCATGGATTTCATCACCTTAACCTTCGAGTGGTGCAAAAGCTCTCTTGTCTCGGACTGCCTCGAGAGCCGCATCAATTCAGGCAAGGCCTTTGCACGTGCATTAGTCGGCTAAGCGGATCCGGCACCTCTTGCCAAAAAATAACGAGTTTCTTGTCGGCTTCCATCACCAGGCCTCGTTAATGCGCTCCTTTACCTCGGAGCTGCTGCGGGTGCTTTGCTCCTCGGGCGACCCTTCATGTCGTACCAGAGCTACTCGGCCAGCTTGCTTCCTGCGGCACTGTCGCCCACGCTAGTGATTGCAGCGACTGCCAGCTTTACGCTATACTAGTAGCAGGACCAGTAGTGAGTTGGGACACCTGTCAGGGAGGTTGCTTTGTATTTGGATGGTCGTGAAAGGGACCTCGTGGTTGTCGTCGTCGTTGTTCCTGCTGCTTCTGCTTCCGCTGCAGATGCCCTTGCTGCTGTGGTGTTGGTGTGGGTGTTGTTGCTGCTGCTGTTGCTGCTGCTGCTGCCGTTGCTGTGGCTGTTGCTGCTGATGCTGTTGTTGCTGTTGTGGTGGTGGTGGTGGTGGTGGTGGTGGTGGTGGTGGCCGTCGTTAGTCGTTGGTACTGGTGTTGCTAGTGGTAGTGCCACCACCACCAGGGGGCAGCGCCGCTAGTGCTGGTGGTGATGAAATGTGATGAAGATGATGATGGTGGTGACGATGCTGCTGACGATGCGACGGCGGAGAGAGACGACGATGCCGAATAATTCGTCAATGATGATGCTGGCTGCTGACAGCCTGCTGGGCATCATCATTCTCACCATCACCATGAGAATCATCGCCATCGTCATGTAGGTGGTAGTAACCAAAACAAGGCAGAAACAGTTGATACTCTTCTTGTTCTTGCTGGACTCTGATTATTGAGCTGGTTCCTCGTTGTGATTGAGAGTTGTCACAGTACCATGATTCATAAAGACCCTTAGTTGGGGTAGAGCGAGGGAGGGTGGGGGGCCTTAATGCCCACATGTTGACCTAATAAGGCCCATTTAAGGAAGTATGGTCCCGTACGCCCCTCCCCCTAAGGGTAGGGGGCCTTAATGCCCATAATATTCACCCAGTTGTGAGGCCTATCTATGGAAGTATAGCCCTTACCCCCTAAGAAGGGTCCCTTTGATTTGAGAGTTGTTAAAGCACCATTTATTTGAATCCCCAGCCCCGGTCTTCCTGAGTCGGTGTTCAGGTTCTCGGCAGCAGCTGATGATCTCGGTGTCCGGGAACGCACCATTTGTAGTGTTTTGAACTTGGGGTGCGTGAATGAACATCGGAGCCTACAAACAGAATCCCACAAGGAAAAATTGCATCTACGAAGCCGCTAGAATAGCCCTAAACCCTAAACCCTAATGCTAGGGAATACTTACAGCAGATCTGCAAGGATCTCTTCTTCATCGCTGGCGGCTTCTTCGGGGCATTCGCCACCGGAATCAAGTGTCTGCTGATGTCCCGTATGCTCTCCGGCATCGCCCTGGGAATTTCAGAAGCTCGGCAGGGATCCAGCGTGTGTGGGTGTGTTGATTGGTTGGTCTGTTGGGCTTGGTTGCTCAATGCGTGTGTGTGTGTGTGTGTGTGTGTGTGTGTGTGTGTCCAACTCTGTTTCCAAGAGACGTGAGTGAGTTAAGCAGCAGGGGGCAGAGGGTCTCATTTCACGGCCTCTGCCAATGAAGCTCCGTGATATTGAGACAGGTAAACGTACCTGCAGTGGTCGGCATGGGCACATTTGTGCAGCTTGTGACCACACAACTGTCGATTGTGGGTAGGAGTGCAGTGCAGTTTCATGTGCAGTATCATGTGCAGTTACATGAGTGATTCGCGTTTGTCCTATGGTAGCACTTCAGATTGCATGTTCTGACTTCTCCTGACAGCTTCTGACTTTCCCTGACAGCTTCTGACAATATGCACTGACAGATCAGACCTGCGACACGATGTGTCAAGTGTGCTTCACAACGGCATTCCCTATGGGCGCCGTGTCTCCCAGAGGTAGCTCTGGCGCTGACTTTCCCGATTGATTGCATAAGCATTGGATGACTTTCCTTGACTTCATATCCATGCTTGCATGCTGACTTTCTCAGTGAGTCTTTCCCAAATGCCTTTTCCGAAACTGAATGCTGACTTTCTCATTGACTTTCTATGATCTGGTTGACTTTCCCGAACCTGACTTTACCGCTGACTTGTCGCAGGTCTTTGGCTGCAAGTTGAGTACATGAGCTGTACTTTTGGTAGTTGCTGATCAATTTGCCATGGATGCTTCAGACAAAGGACGCAGTACCGGGACATCTCTTCCCCCCCTTCCTCCCCCGCCTCTCCCTCCACCCTCCTCCTCTCCCCTCCCTCCTTTGCCCCCGCCTCCCCTCCCCACCCCTCTCGTGGCACCACAGCGAAGTGGATTCCACCCCCCCCTCCCCTTCCCCCTCCCGCTTTCCCTCCCCCACCCCCCACTCCTACAGTTTGCCCGACGCCATCTCCGTCATCTTTGCCGATCTCTTCTGCATGCAATGTTGGCTTGGGAACAGCAGATGTAGCTCCTATCTCGACAGCCGTACGTGCTGTAAGTGATCGACCCGTTCCACAGCAAGAGGTTCCACCAGCCATCACTCTTCATGCAGATGGCACAGGTTTCCGTTTGTCGTTTCGTTCGGTGGCCGATTTTGCTGAATATTCAGCAATTATGTCGGCAAACTTGACTCATGTCCGAGGTCACAGAGATGTGTATGCCGGCCTCAACAATTTGCTCGACATACAGCAGACTGTTGTTTCACAACAAAGTCATGCAGCAGCTTCTGGTCAGAGCCAGCAGTCAGCCCTCACATTTCAGTCGGATGATTCTTCCCAGCCCTCAAAACGACTTCGGCAAGTCCATGGAAGCGGAGTGTCTCTTGTTGCAGATCCTAACAGCATTCGACTTCGTGCGATTTGCGATAACATTCCTGGTACTCATGCTGATCGTGTAGGGTGGCAGCTCAGTGCGGACCAGACTTACGTCTATCGGGTTAAACCCTTGCAAGAATCGTATGAGCATCTTGAGAATCGATCTCTTCTCAAAGGGCATGTGGAAGTTGAGTGGGAACAAGATTCAAACTTCTTCGTGATTCCTGAACTTCGTGGGTTGGAAGTGCGTGATGAAGAAGCGAAGCTGATACAAGTGTATTCAGCCAACTTCAATTGGGTCGCATTATACCCCATGTTTACTGCCCTACGTCACTTGATCAGTTCCAGCCCTGGCCGTATGAAATCGGCATGTGAGATTTCGAGAAAGATACAGGCCAATCTTGAGTTGCAAGTTCCCAGCTCCTTGATGCAAAGCACTGCGGACTATCTGATGAGCCTGTTAGGACTTCCTTCTCAGTATGTCAACTCGACAGCATTGAAGTATGTCTCTCAAGCAATTGCTGCAGCCGATCAAGCTGCAAACATTCGATCTGTTGAGCTTCGTTCTTTGTCGAGTTCGTGCAAGTGTTTGAGCATCCACTTCAACCACTTTGAGAGGACCATGATCAAGTCGCAGACTTCGACAGCAGGG